AATTCAAAACTTAATAAAAAGACATTTTGATTTGATCACAGCACCCAGTCTGTTTGATGAGAAGCCTAACTGCATGACACATCTTGGCTTGGCAATATTCATCTTTATATTTACAACACTCCACTTAAGTAGATTTTCGGGATTTGTGCCTGAACTCAGGGCCGGGGGGACGAATCCCTGTATGCGTGACTTGGGGTTTACCAACATGTACCATTTGGACTAACAGGAAAATTCAGCTGCAGAGTTAGAGATTCATTTAACCTGATGTGAGATGAATGTAATCTGTTTTTTTTTTTTCCTTTTCAAGAGGAAATATATTTGTGAATTGTTTGAAGAAAAAGCATTCTTTTTGTAATAGATCTTTCGGTTGCTTCATTATTATACTAATGGTATCTTTTTAGCTTAAATGTGGTATGACATCACACGCCATTCATCTGTGTTGCTCTCCAGTCTCTTGTATACGAGCTGGGCTAGCTGCTTGTGCATGTACATCCATATCCATCCATGTCTGCCCTATGCTACATCAGTGTAGCATAGTGTAGGAGCAACTAGCTTAGATTGCTTAGCATATACTCTCTGCTAACAGTCTACTAGCATGATTAACTGTGATCATACAGTCATGGCCAAAAGTTTTGAGAATGATTGGAATGTTAATATTTACAAAGTTTTCTGCTTTAGTTTTTATAATGACAATTTGCATATACTCCAGAATGTTATAAAGAGGGATCAGCGTAACAGCAATTAACTGCAAAGTCAATATTTGCCTAGAAAATGAACTTTATCCCCCAAAACTGATTTCAACGTAATTGCAGCCCTGCCTTAAAAGGACCAGCTAACATTGTTTCAGTGATTGCTCCATTAACACAGGTGTGGGTGGTGATGAGGACAGGGCTGGAGATCAATCTGTCATGATTAAGTAAGAATGACACCTCTGGACACTTTAAAACAAGGCTGGTGCTTGGCATCATTGTTTCTCTTCTGTGAACCATGGTTATCTCTAAAGAAACATGTGCAGTCATCATCGCACTGCACAAAAATGGCCTAACAGGAAAGAGAATTGCAGCTAGAAAGATTGCACCTCAGTCAACAATCTATCGCACCATCAAGGACTTCAAGGAGAGAGGTTCCATTGTTGCCAGAAAGGCCCCAGGGCGCCCAAGAAAGACCAGCAAGCGCCAGGACCGTCTCTTAAAAGTGTTTCAGCTGCGGGATCGGGCTACCAGCAGTGCAGAGCTTGCTCAGGAATGGCAGCAGGCAGGTGTGAGTGCAGCTGCACGCATTGTGAGGCAGAGACTCTTGGAGCAAGGCCTGGTCTCAAGGAGGGCAGCAAAGAAGCCACTTCTCTCCAGGAAAAACATCAGGGACAGACTGATATTCTGCAAAAGGTACAGAGAGTGGACTGCTGAGGACTGGGGTAAAGTCATTTTCTCTGATGAATCCCCTGTCTGATTGCTTGGGACATCTGGACATCTGGCTTGTTCGTTGAAGACGAGGTGAGCGCTACCACCAGTCTTGTCTCCTGCCAACTGTAAAGCATCCTGAAACCATTCATGTGTGGGGTTGCTTCTCAGCCAAGGGAGTCGGCTCTCTCACAGTCTTACCTAAAAACACAGCCATGAATAAAGAATGGTACCAGAATGTCCTCCAAGAGCAACCTGTTCCAACCATCCAAGTGCAGTTTGGTGATGAACAATGTCCTTTCCAGCCTGATGGAGCACCTTGCCATAAAGCAAAGGTGATATCTAACTGGCTCAGGAAACAAAACATAGAGATTTTTGGTCCATGGCCTGGAAACTCCCCTGATCTTAATCCCATTGAGAACTTGTGGTCAATCATCAAGAGATGGGTGGACAAACGAAAACCTAGGAAATCTAACAAAATGCAAGCATTGATTGTGCAAGAATGGACTGCTATCAGTCAGGATTTGGTCCAGAAGTTGATTTAGTGCATGCCAGGGAGAATTGCAAAGGTCCTGAAGAAGAGGGGTCAACACTGCAAATATTGACTTGCTGCATTAACTCACTGTCATCAAAAGCATTTGGTACTCATAATACGATTGCAATTGTATTTCTGTATGTGATAACAACATCTGACATACACACATGAAAACCTGATGGCAGCAGATCATGTGAAAATAAAATATTTGTGTCATTCTCTATACTTGACAAATGGTGTACATGACTGTACACCATTTGATGCTAATGGTGGAACGCAAATAAACAGCATAACTACTAAGTTATTGAACTTCAATAACTTAGTAGTTATGCTTAATAAAGTTATCAACTTCAATCAAATCAAACTTCTGTGAACTACTGTCCACTTTAGAAGCAATACTGACTGACAATCAATTTCACATGCTGTTGTGCAAATGTTATAGACAACAGATGGAAATTATTGGCAATTAGCAGGACAAACGCTAAATAAAGGTGGTGCTTTCAGACTCACGGTAGCATGAGACAGACTCTACGATCCACACAAGTGACTCAGGTTGTGAGGTTCAATGTGGCAAGAAGGTTTACTGTTGGAGTCAGCATGGTATCCAGAGGATGGAGGCCATACCAGGAGACAGGCCAGTACATCAGGAGATGTGGAGGAAGCCATTGTAGAGTAACAACATAGCAGCAGGACCACTACCTCTGCAGTTGTGCAATGAGGAACAGGAGGAGCCCTGCAAGAGCCCTGCAAAATTACCTCCAGTACGCCACAAATCTTCACAGATGGTTAGAAACAAACTATGAGGATGGTATGAGGGCCTGACCTCCAGAGCTGGGGGTTGTGCACACAGCCCAATACCGTGCAGGATGCTTGGCATTTGCCAGAGAACACCAGGATGGCCAAATTCTCCACTGGCGCACTGTGCTCTTCACAGATGAAAGCAAGTTTACCATGAACACATGTAGAGTCTGGAGACACAGTGGAGACTGATCTGCTGCCTGCTACATTTCTTTTTGCACAGCCCTCTATATGCTAGCCAGACGTAGCATGAATGCCATTAGGTACTGAGATGAGATCCTCAGACCCTTCGTGGGACCAAATGCTGATGCAGACGGCCTTAGGTTCCTCCTAATGCAGGGTAATGCTAGAGCTCACATGGCTGGAGTCTGTCATCAGCTCCTGCAAGATGAAGGCATAGAATCAGTGGACTGGCCCGCCAGTTCCCCAGACCTGGATCGGATTAAGCACATCTGGACATCAAACATGATCCTTTGAAAAGTAATGCTGTTTTACTGTATAATAATTCTTTGTAAATATGCGCATATAAGGCGACAGGTAATTAGAGCAAAGGAAAGAAACGTCAGGACGGAGTTGCAACTGGAGGAGAAGGGGAGAGAGGCGTAGCTTGTGACACATCTTGTTTTGGTCTACAGAAAGTGCTCAACAGCCCACACAGTGTTTACATTTCACTTATTGCTCATTAAAAGGTTAAGTCCCTTTCTTTTCTACATAAGGAGGAAGAGGAGACTTTGAAGCATTTAGCTCTCCCCCTTGTTCCTCCTTCCTTCCTGATGATGATAAAGCTGCCCCACCTAAACATGTGAACAGAGTGTCACTGCTAAAAACCAAAACTGAAAATAAGCCATTAAGCACAGGTTTTAGTCCTGTAACAGTTATTCAACCTAAATTAAATACAATGTGAGATAGAAACCCCTTCCTTTTTCCTCCCTCCTCTTTCAAAGTTAGCTTGAGTTTAAAACTACAGACTATAATTACATTCTGAAGGTCTGGTTAGCGTTCAAGATGACACCATGCTGGTCTATTTTGATGGTATTATACTTATAGAATTAGTTGTTATTGATAAAGAATCTTTATGATTTTCTAAAATACAGTTAATTTGTTAAATGGTAACCTGTTCAAATAAACTTAGAAAACTCTACATTTATTGGAGCTTTTGTAGATCAGGAAGTTTCCCTGCCTTTTAAAAGCATTTCTGATGCAAGCTATATAGAAAGGTGGTCAACGTATAACAGCAGGTTTAGTTGAAGGTGTTTTTCCCAATCAAATTTTCTATGAGTGTAATGGTCACTAGTTTACCTCAAAGCAGAGACGGATGCTGGAAGCTTGACAACTTGCAGAGATGGAGCAGATCAGAACACCAAGTAGACCTGGGCAGACGCAGGAGCAGGTCATGACACCAGGTCGAAGTTAGTCAAAATTAAGATCAAATTCTTATGCAGCAGTGAACGGGACAGAATTGTCTGGCAACGTGATGCTGAGACAGCAAGCCTTTTGAAACAAAGAGTCGATGAGCTGATGGGCTGTTGGTGTCTCAGTTTGCAGCACCACAGTGCAATCAGCCACACTCCCTACCAAAACATTGCTCTGCTGAAAAAAAGAGAACCACAAACCCCAACAATAAGAGGTAGAATGTGGTAACGAAAATTAACACCTTAATCCTTATTTAGTCACCTTACTGTTGTAATAACTGTGGTAGCGGAAAGAAAGATGACATATTACCTTCATTTTATAGAGTCTGATGATCAAACATAATTATTTCAATTATTTTACTAACTAAAAGTAACAGACTATGCCTTTAATCATTTTGCTCCCGACACTCATATGGGGCAACGTCCTTTGTGTCTGGTGTGAGCATCTGCTGCTGTGACACTCTGTCCAACTAGCTTTATTTTACATAAGCAAATATGCACATTTATAACACATGTAAAATATCATTGCATTCCAAACAGTTTTTTGTGTTTTAGAAATTGTACATACTCTAATACCAAGGATGATTTACTTGGAAAATATTGTGTAGCCCTACTTTAGAAGTGTTTATGTTTGATCTCACTGAGGGAATTGACTCACAGTTGCACTAATTAGAGACAATTCTGACTAAACTCAGAGCAAATCGGTAAGAGATAAAAATACAGAAGTAGATTTGTACATGGATCGTGAAGGCACGGTGATAAGGAGGAGGAGTAGTAGCAGTGGGCAGTTGGGAGGAAGAGGAGGAGGAAAAGGAGGAGGAGGGAATCCATATGGGAAGGAGCAGCCTGCGGCTCCGCTGCAGTGAGAAACATAGCCCGATGAAGAGAAACGAAAGCCTAATTTTTGCTCAGAGATGAAAAGCTCTTTATTCAAACACTGAGCTGTGGGAATTCACTCTGTGCCGGCATGTATTTTGGTATGTAAACGCAGCACTGCGCTTTTATTCTTGGATGGATTATTTTTTTCTGACATAATCACAGCTGAATCACTTGTTGCATGCATATCTAGATGTTCTGTTTGCAGAAATACTGATAGATGTATGGTGCTCATCATTTACAAATACCAGTTTAGTATTTATATTTCTCTCCAGGTTCATTGAATGTATGTTGAACAATAGAATTGAAATGAAAAAATATAAAGCAGAGCAGGAATGTTTTTGTGTAGATTCTGAGTTTTAGGCAGCATAGGATTGTAGAAGTTGACTGACTAGATATTTATACACTAGCTACTCAAACTATTTACTCATTCTGACTTTATATCAGGAGTGTGGGATCTGGACGCATTTAGTATCTGTGTTTTGCATTTTAAAAACAAATCTCTTCTCAGGAAAGTAGATGCCCAGAACTCACAATGTTGCATGCACACACATGCATGCCGTCAGCCGAAGGCAATCAGAGTAATGGCAGAACGGATGGGTGTGTTGGTTGATCTTGATGATGATGATGATGATGATGATTAAACTTGCACCCTGGTCTTGATTCAAGCTGCAATCAAGCTGGGAAAACTTGTAAAGTGGAGGCTGAGCAATCAGAAATGCAAACAGGACGCTTATCACGCTGGACCCTCTGGACTAAATCTGTAGATGTGTGTGCGTGTGTGTTTGATGTTTGTGTGTGTTTACAAGCTGTTTGTGTGTGTTCTAACTACTTATCAGATACATTATTTTAATTAATCTTTGAAAAAAAAAAAAAACTTTACCAAAAGAAGTGACAAGTAGCCTTTTCATTAATCATATCTAAAGTGTTGAAGGGATTGGTACAAAAGAATAAAAAAGGAAAATGGATTTTATACAAGTTGCAAGATAAGCTCTGAAAAGATAGGATGTAAACAGATTTGTGCTAAAATATAACAGCAAATAAAAAATTAGGTGGTGCCTCAAAGAAGGGATGGCTCTTATATCTGCACCTGATGCAAAATTATTTCACTTTTACACATAAAATAAATGTTATAACAGCTTGAGTATGTTTTAAAGAATCAGTTATCAATGTGGAATAATCCATTTCCAGGCTTACAATCTAGTTTTTTGTCCATTTCATGCCAAGAATATCAGATAACTTTCTCTGCTTTTGCGGTTGTTTCCTACTAATCAAATAGAAAAATAATAATAATGTGCATGTGCTTTTTGTTTAATATTTGTAGGGGGAAAATCCCTAGTACAGCCTTAGTAGACCCTCTAACCCTCTAGCAAATACAATTCTTTTACCAGATAAATTCATTGTAACATTGTAATTGGAGATTTCAAGAAGAGATTTTAGCATTTGTACACAGATGCAATGTGTACAACAAAAATTTCAGCAATACCTCAATAATTGTATTACCCATTATCTACGTTATGCTACGTTAAGAATGTGCTTCATTCAACCTGACATGCCTATCAATGAAAAAGAAAGAAAAACTCACAAGAAGACCAACTTTCTAATTAATTTGGATAGTAGATATTTAATCTCTTTGGAAGCATTAAGAAATAAATCTAATTCTTAGGTAAAAATGTACACATCAAAAAACAAAAACAAGATGTCACAGTTAAAGTAGCGTACCACATTCCAATGCACCAGAGCACTTCAAACTTGACAGTTTTGACCCCAGTACATGTACACTATTCAGAAGAGGTATGCATCAATAGTGACAGATACACTTTTTAAGACCAGAACATATCTGATGTCCCTAAAAAGGCCTTTCATTTCCTGACATTTTTATTCATGTCAAATAAATGAATATTACAACATGCATGGCTAGAAAGGAAACCCTTTGACAACATTTTAGTTTTAAGGCCTCTCTATTAAGTGTGAGGATTCAAGTCTGACATGCATGAGTGTTTTGGAATTTTTATCTATGGATGAGCAAATGTAATCCATTTTCTACAAAATACAGGAGGACCAAGATCATGCTTTGTGGAGACATGTGGAAAAAGTCTCCATCATCAAGCTTTAACTTTTTTGAACCCATTCGGATTAATTTAGGTTGAATGGTGCACTTTTAGTTTTACCATCTAAATGTGAAGATACATCTAAACCATTTTTACAGAGAAATTAAAATTTCTATTGAGGAAACTGGGCTCACTGGACCCTATTGATTAAGAACAAAGTTCATGTACATGTAAACGCAAGCAAATACTTTGGGCAATAATTTAAAAGTACTACTTATCCAAGAGCAACAAACTTCTCTTGCTATTATTTTCTTGTGAAACAGAAGAATTTAACTCTATTGTGTGTTTATGTCTGCTGTGATGTGTCTCAGGTAATATCTACCACGGTCCCCTGCCACCTCTGGCTCATCACACGCTGGGCAGAACCCAGCCCTCCCCAGATCCCAAGGCTCTTTTCCCCCTCCATCTGCTGCCTGGATTCGCCAATGTGAGTACTGTCAGTCATTGTTGGGTGATGGCACAAAATGTCACTGAATCAAACCTCAGATTTCTACCTCCTTCAAACAATTTTTTAAAATTTCATTTTTGTTTCATAGAGTGGGAGTCGTGCTTTTAGTTTGCATCCATGCGTGGAAGTAAATGTTTAATATGGGCATGCTGCCTACACCTTTCCAAATATATCACCTGTGATGCAGAGAGTGGTGACATTTTCATACATCCTGGGGGGTGTAAGAGCTGCTTCCTTGGTATATCTTATGCAAAACCTTTCTCAGAGCTGTCCGTCTCTGTGTTTGTGAAGGTAGAATGAATTAATACAGATCAGGTCCAGGTTTCAAGGAGAGGATCAGGATTAATATCTTAATTTAATCCTATCTGCTCAATGTATGAAATCAGATTTTTAGCTCGTAGAAATAATATGATAAAGATTTCTGTTTGCATCTGCAAAACAAGTAACCTGTTACGTGCACTTACAATTAAAATAGATTTTACATTCTCAGTGTCAGTTTTAGCATGATAGTTATCTGCTCAGATGTGACCCAGAGGGATATTTACAGAAGCTTTTACAGACATAGTAATGTATGCAGGTCAGGATGTTCTCTGAGCTTTCAACAAGAAAGGTGAGATACATTCATTTTGCATATTTTCACAAGAATGCTGTGTATCTGTATTTGCTATTTTCTCAAACTGCTATTCTGCCTAAAAATATTATATTTATCAAGGACCAAGCACCTTAAATTCTCCCCTATCCCTTTCACCCTTATTTGATAAATAATAATAATAAATAATTTAACTTTATTAATCTCACATTGGAGAAATTTACCTCTGCATTTAACCCATCCCCTTGAGGAGCAGTGGGCTGCCATCGTGGGGCGCCCGGGGAGCATTGTGGGGTTAAGGATCTTGCTCAGAGACCCAGAGTGGCAGTCTGTGGGATATATTTCTATTTTTTCTCCCTCCCTTATTTCTCTGCCAGAATATCAGACTATTTCCATCCAGCCATCCATCCATCCATCCATCCATCCATCCATCCATCCATCCATCCATCCATCCATCCATCCATCTGAATGTGGGTTAGATATATACCTAACAACATGACAGAACCCTCAGGCCAAACAGACCCAGGAGATGCTCTCAGGAAAAAACTCTCTGACCAGCATCAACAAATTCAGTCCCACAAATCTACTTTCGGAAGCCTCTCTCAGCAGCTGAGCATCCCCAACCAAGACTCGAACAAATGGTGGACTTTTACAACAGATTATTGGTAACCAATCTTTCCGACCTGGAAATGGCACCAGTGGTCCACCAGTTGATCAGCAGCTCACTCATTCCTTCCCCCAATCTGGAAAGGTTCTCTGGTGACTCCAGTCCACTATATAGTGATTGAAGGATTTAGGGGGCAGACGTTTGGACACAGCCAGTCTCATCTTTACAATGCAGTTCTATTATTCTCCTGGATGAGTTCATAGCTGATTGTGACAGGTGCATTCCATCAATCTCAAGCAAGCACTACCCATCCAGCATGCTATGAAGAGTGAGCAAAGAATAATTTAATTTAATTTGAAATACAACACCATAACTACAATGCAAACCAAAAACAAAAGTTGTAAAAAAAAGTCTGCAGTTTAAATTTGATTGGTGAAGAAAAATAATGCATTGATTCAGTGAGGAGGACGATGTGACGAAATTTGCTGTATAAGTGAAGTAGCTTTGAGACTTCAACTGGTAAGCCACTGGGGGAATTTAAGATCCAATAAGGTGCAATTAGTCTGCTCCCATTTCCCCACACAGATTAGTGACTACTGGTGACACAAACTGTCTTTTAGTACTCTAAAATTCTGGCATCTCTTAGAGAGGAGTTGGTCCATGTATGACTAGCCCTCTTTCTCTAAAGTCTACAAAAATGCAACAAGCATGTTCCACCAAACCACTCAGCAGAGTATTAGCATAAAATTGTTTAACAAAAAAGTCACTTAAACTTAGTACCACACAAGTGGTGGTTTAAAGAGAATCTGAAAACTGATATAGAATCAGATGGAGGCTATAGTGAGACCTTTTCATTTGGCCCAGACAAAAAAAAAGTCATGCATATTTAAACACACAATTAGGGCTTTGTTTATGTTCTTTTTAATTTATCAAACATGAACTGCAGAAAATAAAACGTAGTTGTAAATGAAATCAGGTTCTTGCCTAATAAACTTTATGCTCACAAACGGCTTGGATCATCTCAGTGTTCTGGCTTCAGGGCATGTACTATTTATTCATTTATTCATTTTTTTTTATACCTGGGTTATTGCTTTTATTTTACAATCCTGGCCCAAACTGTGTACTGACAGAGAGACCTGTGAGGAAAGACACTTATCCATCTAATAAATTTTCACAATAGATGTATTTTTGTAAACAAACATATCCATTCTGTGAATGTTTATCATGTGAACTAGTGCAATGCTTCCTGTTTTGCTTAAAAGAGAAGATATCAACTACAGGAAATTCATATAACATTTTATATTTAATCTTTGTTAAAAAACAATAACTAAAGGTAAATGCAGTAAAAGGAGAAAAAAAATTAAGCTTTCTTTGAGTATATTTAAAAGATGTTTCCTCTTCTGAATTAAACTGATTTGGTGCACAGCTGACCTCTCTCAGGGTGGATTGTTATTTGCATCTCTTATTAAGCCTTTAACTCCAGTAAAGCTTTCGTAGGCACCACCATGCCTATATTGATTCAGAGGGTTTTCTGTGGTACCCATTTGTTTAAACTCATGATGGTGTGCATTTGCTCTCCGATCAGTTTTGCTGATTGAGGTTTTTTTTTTTCTTTTATCTGGAACAATACATATTGATTCTAATAAATTTATTATTTAAATATCAAACATCCAAATGAAGCATCTATTTCATGCCAAATAGGTTTTGTGATGATGTCAGGAGTTTATCCAAATGGTAATCTGCAATAAATCATAACATCATTTTTCATCATACATGTATAATCTTGATTTTGATCCAGCTTGAACATATCTACTTTATATCACTTGGATGAATGTTTCAACCTCAAATGGCTCCCTGGAGCTGAGCATGTCTGAAAAGCAACTACTGCTGAGTGTCAGTGGGTTTGCTCAAAGATTGTACTGATTATAATTGATGCTGTGTTATGTACCGGAAGTCTTCATTTAGAGGATTTGCATTTGCTGCTGATTTGGTTTCTGTGTGTGTCTGTGAGTTTGTGAGTGTAGGAGATTGGAGGACATGAGCAAAAGAGGGCGAGCTGACTTTGCCACAGGTGCTTGTCGGTTATGAGGTGCATGAAAGGAGTTGAGGATAGGAGAGTGAGACCACTGGGATACAGGAAGGTGACTTTGATAAGATGGAAGCCAAGGGAGAGGCAGAGAGTTTAGAGGTGAACAGATGGAGCGGTGGAGTGTGAAACTTGTGATCGAAGGTGAAGGGAACTGCAGGAGCTCTGATGTTCACTCTCATCAAGAGATGCAAATACCACATTCCTTGAAATGTTTTTATAATATGGTCATAGATTCTTATTTGAAAAGTTTAGCTTCTCATGAATTAGACAAAAAAATAGTCTTCATGTGGGAAAGTTAGAGAACTGTGAGCATAGATAAGGATTCCAGTGCATCTGACAACAAGGATATAAAGCTAGCAAAAGCTTGCTCTTTGCCTTGATAGGAATTCAGCTGGTTTGTGTCCATAACAAATCATCCTAACTGGCCAATGCCAATGTCTGATTAAAATAAATCAATTTTCTATTACAATGACATGATCCCACATAGAAAAGTTCCAGGAGCTCTACCTCAATAACAATTATTCATAAGTGAACCCTAATTTTTTTAATTAAAAAAAATTGTTTTTTAGTTGTGTTTAGGTTTTATCTTTGAATTTTTGTTGGTTTTATTTCCATTGTGTTATTCAAGTTATTTTTGATTTTATTTGAGTTCTGAGGTGTTTCTTGTTTGCCCTCTGTTGCCCTCTTGTGTCAGTCTCCTTTTCCCTTGCTCCCTTCAAGACTCCTCTGTTCACACCTGCTCCAAATCTACTGATTAGCCTAGTCTTTGTTTCTCTCTCCCATATATGCACTTCCTGCTTAGTCAATGTTGCTGTTTTGATGTAATTTCTTTGCCATCTTGTTGTGAGTATTCTTGGTTCTCAGTCTGTATTTGGGTCCTCTCAAACTTCCACCCAGCTTGAAAGAGCGTATTCCTTTTGGCAACTCAAATTCAATAAGCTGATCTTCATGTGTACAGCTAAACATCTTTCTTTTAAGCGCTGTTTAAAAATCCAGGTTCTTTAAACAAATCCTGAGTAAAGATTTAAAAAGGTAGTTATCAAAATATGAATTTTGTATTATTTTTTTTTTACGTCTGTCTAAACCTACCAACAAATGGCATTCTGCTTGAAGGCTTTTTGCAAGGCAGCTGAATTTATGGTTGTCCCAAACCTGCACCACCATCTTGTTTAAATGCTCTTTATGCTATCCACATATAGTAAAAAAAATTTTTTTATGCTTTTTTTTTTTTTTAGTTGTAGTAGAAGACTTCAACTTCATTACTGGATTCCTTAAACCTTACAAATTACTTTATAACCCCTGTTCTCCATTGATCTCTTTACAGTTTTTAATTTCTTTGAGCTGGCATGATAATTATTTTATTTTTTCTATTGAAAGTTTTTTTTATGTTGAAAGTCAGTTTCTATTTGAGTGGTTTCCTGATATCATATTGGTTGTAGCTAATCAAACTAAAATAAAAAAGGAGCTTTATTACAGTTTAACAACGGGACTGATTATATTCTCTTTTTTGGACATGTTGGCTTGGGAAGCTTTTTTCACTCTAAAATTCCAAATCATTATTTGAAAATGGTTTTGATAATCAATCAGCTCATCTTATTCTTATGTGTATATCTATGCAAGGACATTAAAGAGCAAAACAAAAAATATTTTTTATGCGCGTTTGATCAGATGTGAAGTTTGAAGTGTAATTAAGT